ACACACACACACACACACACACACACACACACACACACACACACACAGTTAATTGATTGTAATGAAACATTTTTGGAACTTAACACCTCTTCTTATTGGGTGGTTTCACTTTCATTTTGATAGGGGATAAACAGGAAGTGGGGAGACTCACGTGGGCGGGGCCTGGTCACCACGGTAGCAGTGGTCGTGACAGTCGTTGTCTCGGTCGGAGGAGGTGCGTCGGTTGAGGATGTGCAGTGGGATGTAACCGGGCGTCGGACCGAAAACCACCAGGGGGCCCTGACCCAGAGGAGGGTCTTCACCACGGTAACAGAAGGCACACTGCTTCAGTCTGAAGGATAAAGATTGTTAATAATCAATGAACGAGGTTCAAACATCTGGGACCAGAGGGTTAGAGCTAGATGTGTTGTTCCACTTCCTGTCTCCACTATGTGGCGCTAGAGAACACACACATGCTTTACGTTGCTCTATATCAAGTGTAGACCACATCATGTAAATGCTGTTCGTCACATAACGCTGACTTCCTGTTGCCAGTAGGCAGTGCTGTGACAATTGGCTGGTCGACGTCCTCAGGCGGCAAGTTTGGGACCATTTGGATTAAGTCCAGTGAAGTTACATCTCCACTGTATTTGAATCACATCAGATAACTATGTTTCGGACTTTAAATGTGTGCGATATGTTTCTGTATTGAGCATTTTTAATCCCTCAAAAGCGCCTTTGTTCGCCACGGCAACGGCATTCCACAAAAGGTCCAAAGCTTTGTGGCTTTATGAACTTTTTACGTATGTGTGGAACTAATTTGATGTGGATCTGATTTACTTATCAACAGAAGCAAGCAAAGTATAGAGACCTATAGAGTAGCACCACCTGTTCCCACTAGGTGGCGCTATAACTATCTAAATAGTCATGTAGATGTCTTCAGGGTCAGGATGTTATGACATATGAGACATGTGGAACAGATTAAACAATGTACGGCCGAGTTACAACTACTTCCTGTTTCATGGGGAATGGTGTTTCTTTGTCGCCACGGATACAAAGTTCTATAACTTTTTGATCTTTTGATAACTTTTTACTGCAAAAGTCTCAACATCAAACTGACCAAATATAAAGCCAATCGGGTCAAATCTCTAGGAAGAGTTTGTTAAAGTACGGAGCCTTGAAATTGTCAAAAAAGATGAGCCCTCTCTCTCTCACCGTTTTTTGGTGTGTCCCAGACTCAGAGTGGGCGACCCCCCAGAGTCCTCTGACAGCTGGAACAAAGGGGACAGCGAGTCCTCGTCCACCAGTGGGGGGGAGACCGGAGGACTGGCCCCGCCCACGTCTCCCTCTAGAGGGTCAGGATCAGGATCAGGATCAGGAGCAGGTCTGGGTCTGTCCTCCTCCAGAGGGTCAGGATCAGGAGCAGGTCTGGGTCTGTCCTCCTCCAGAGGATCAGGAGCAGGTCTGGTTCGGTGCTCCTCCAGCGGGTCAGGAGCAAGTCTGGGTCTGTCGACTGGAGGTTCTTCCCCAGGAATGTAAGCTGGTCCTGGGATGGAGGTGGATAGCGGGGCAGCAGGACTGGTTCTGTCCTCCTCATTAGCACTGGGAGCTGATTCTGGGCTGGACTCTGGGACTGTGGGGTCAGGATGAGGGGGGTCCGGGTCAGGTTCCTGGCTTGGTTCAGGGTCTGGTTTAGGGTTTGTGTTGAATTTTCTCCTGGAGGTGGACCGACGTTGTCCTGTTGTCTTCTCCTTCACTTCTGAGGACACCAAACAAACGACAACATAAGAACATAAGAGATCCACTGGGTTCAGGTCTGAAGGTCAACAACACACACACAAAATTTACATTATTCAGTGTGGCTTTGTGGCACAAGGCAGTCCCTGTGCCAAAGCACACCGACTGTAATCCTGCGGGCTTAATAATAATAATAATAATAATAATAATAACAACTAGAAAATTCCTAAAGAAATTTTGACAGTGTGGCTTCTACTGCCCGAAGAAATCGCAATATATACACACGCCAATGTTACCGGTAGTGTCATTCAGGTTCAATTGAGATAGCGCTACTCTCTTTTCTGCATTTTAGATTCATACTCTTGGATTGAATCTTGTATTTGTGGGGCTTTTATTTTGAAAGGGTGGGACTGGGTGGGTGAGAGGAGACAGAATCATAATGTTTGACGGTACCAGACGCAGACGGTACCAGTTTTGTCTATTGCTCTGGAGCTCACATTTGTAACAGTGTCGTATTTGCAATTTCCAGGCGCTGTGTATGATGGTCACAGAAATGCATGGCCGCGTCATCCAGAGTCCTGCCAGTACCCTCGACGTGCGTGAAGTTGCTTGCAGCTTTAATTCACGTTGTTCTTTCACGTTGTTCTTTTTAATGTTGTTCTTTCACGTTGTTCTTCCTTCACCTTGTTCTTTTTAATGTTGTTCTTTCACGCTCTTTTTAATGTTGTTCTATAACGTTATTTTTCACTGTGTTCTTTTTAATGTCTTATAACATTCTTTTTCACGTTGTTCTTTTTAATGTTTTATAACTTTCTTTTTCACCGTGTTCTTTTTCACCGTGTTCTTTCACGTCGTTTTCTCTGTGTTCTTTTTATTGTTGTTCTTTCACATTTGTTTCACAGATGTCGATGTTTGTTTAAAACTGGTCTCTGTTTTAAAGTGACGTTGCTTCAGACGCATGTTCAAGGCTGAATCTGTTCAAGTACAAAAGAAAGCCGACGTTTCACAGCAACATCTGTGTACATTGGCTGACTGGGGCGACTGTGCCTAAGTGGATAGCAGGTCTGTCCTTCAATCAGAGGATCGGTGGTTCGATCCCCGGCTCTGCTAATTGCATGTCGATGTGTCCTTGAGCAAGACACTTAACCCCAAAAATGTCTCCCGTAGCTGTTCCTACGGTGTAGAAATGGGATAGAATCCAAATTGTAAGTCGCTTTGGCTAAATGACTGTAATGTAATGTGCAGTCCAGAGGAGCAGAAATCCAGCTTGATGGAATGTTATCACATTTTTTTGATAAAGTATTTGGTAAAAACGAACAGGACAATGAAACAGAGACATGAACATCAGCTGTAAACACACCTGTCTTCTGGGGGGTTTTCTTCTCCTTGGTGTCCATGTTCTCTTCATCCTCTACCTGGGCTTGGCCTCGACTCCGTCCCCTGTACAGAAAAACACAGGTATGTAGTACTTCTGATTACATCACTGTTTCATACTAATGCAGCTGGAGAATACTCTGTGTCATTTTAAATACTTTATAAATGTAATAATTGGGCTATATACAACTTATTATAACATCGTAGTTTATTAGTTGATTAATTTTTTTATTTAAATAATCAGAATCTGCAAAGGAGCCCAACTAGTAATTAATATTGTGAAATAAATGACGTTAAAGAACTTATTTTTCTCTGAGATGTAGTGGATTAGAAGTATAAAGTTACATCAAATGGAAATACTTCAGTAAAGTACAAGTACCTTAAAAATTGTACTTAAGTACAGTACTTGAGAAGCCTAAATTTACCTTGTGAATTTAGAATTGTTAAAAGAGCACAGACTCCATCTTAATGTATCTCTCAAAGTTCACCAGATTGATGCATTTAACTTTAAAATGTAAAACATTTTCTTCTAGACCGTGGACCCCGACCGTGGACCCCCCAGAGGGTCTGAGGTCCAGCCCCCCCAGTCTCACTAAATTATTATTGGTGCACCAAGAGAGCAGTTCATCACCACAGTGAAAAAGTACTTCTTCAAAGGTTAAACACAAACAAATATGGATTGAAGCAGAATATTCTGTTTGATAAAAACATGTTGTACATTGTGTTTTTAATAATGTTGACTTTTGGAGTTATTGATAACGTTTGGATCCCACGAGTCTTTAACAATCCTAGGCAGCCACCACTGAAATCTACAAACGATAATAAGATAGTAAGATAATAATAACAATAGTAACATGTGTGAGGATTTAAACACAATGAAGAGCCTTAATGCAGAAACACACTGTCAGCACATTTTACAGTGTTTTCTGAGATACATCTAAGATAAGATGATGTCACTCTAATAACATCACACTTCATATATTCAGCTCATTGTTTCAGCTCCACTGATCGATCTCAGTCCTGATCTAGACTCACTTCTTCCTTGATTTGGAGGGTGGAGGAGGTGTGGAGGGCACAGAGCGGCCATCTTTCCGAGGTCGCCCACGACAACGCCTCTCGAGGGCGGGGCTAGTAGCTGCGGCTTTGGCCCGAGTGACGGGGGGGGTCGGTCCACTGTCCCGAGGCTCCTGAGACTGGGCCTCAGATGGCATTCTGGGTAAAAAAAAAAGAAAAACAGAAAGGGGGGGGGTGTTCAGATTAGATCCAACTAACTATTTTGGTTTGGTTTAGTCTATTAAATATTTATTATACTTATTATAGTCTTTTGTCACATTTGTGATTAAAATAAAGTACAGCTGATATTTAAATGTCTCAGAGACATAATTAATCAACATTTAAATAGATTTATTATCTACAGTTTCTACTTTAATACATTTTTATGTACCTCGGTTCTGGGGTTAGGGTACAGTGAGGAATAAAACTAATAATGACAGCCAATCAGATGCGAGCTAATAAGTCATGTCAACAAACTACCAATCAGATTCGAGTTAATACGTCATGTAAACAAACAGCCAATCAGATGTGAGTTAACACGTCATG